GTGTTGGACGTGTTCTGGATGTTCAAAACGTACCTTAAATACCTTTCATTTATTTTAACTGCATCCTCTTTTGACTGTTCTTGTTAATTTGATGAAAACATTTTAAATATCCAGTGCACTCACATCAGAATAACTTTTAGATTTGTTGTTAGAATAATGAATTAATCTAAAAAATAATCGTTAGATTAATCGATTAGAAAATAATCGTTTGGTACAGCACTTTTAGGTTTAGGGTAAGGGGTCAGGGTTAGGCTATATAAATGACTGGTAAATAAATGGAAGCCCGTGCAAAGTCCCCATGAGGATAGAAGAACAAACGTGTATGTATGCGTGTGGGTGGGGACCTAAGCCAAGTCTCCATGCAGGGAAATGCCATTGGTGGGTGGAGGTGGGGTTAGGTTTAGAACTAAGGTGTGAACTGAGTTTAGGTTAAATTTAGGGTTAGGTATGTACCTGTGAGGTTAGGTTAAGGGTCAGTGTTAGGGTGTAGAAATTAATGGAAGTCAATACAAAGTCCCCATAAAGATAGTAGTACTAGACCATGTGTGTGTGTACTATATTTACAACTAATAAATCCTGGAGTGAATTTGATTCAAGATGTCTGTCACAACTAATCAAAAAAAGCTTAAAGTTTGAGTTATAGCTGCACTCTGGGTACTCACGCAGGGCGCACCTGTAGGTGTTTATACTTGACACTATGTGGTTGTAGTATTCTCCAAAGGGCAGTACACTTTATAACTTGTGAAAATGTTGTAAGCAGTAGAGCAAAAGCTCGACAGACTTGACAGATTTGAATGGTGGGCGGCGCACGCAGTCTTTGCGGAGTTAGAAAAATTCGTAGGTGCACACCGCTCAGGGGCCAACGCACAGGAGCGGGGATGGCATGATTGCYTCACTATTGGCGCYTGCCCCCTCATGCCCAGTYTGACGTGTCAGCTATAAACCTAGCTTAACAGTCACTTTTCCAGATCTCGAGTAGTAGTAGTTGACACTTATCCCCAAAACATATTCTAAGCACTGACAGATTCAATGAGATTTTTGCTTAAGAGAGCAAAAAAGCATTCCTGCTTTCACCAAATGTTCAAAAGATTGCAATTTTAAAAACATAACTCTACATCACTGTGTAGAAAATATAACAGAAACCTTGTCGTCCTTCAAAGCGCGTATCCTGGCTTCTAGTTCCTGTAGAATCTTGTCTTGTTCACAAAGCCGACTTAATTTAACCTATAAGAAAATAAATAGACTTTAAAATACAACAAGAAGGCTTTAACAGATAACATTCAAATCTTTTAATACTTCTTTTGATGCTTCAGACTGTGGACTTCCATCAACACAGAAACAGGAAGGGATAAAACGGAGATTAGGACGATAAATACAGCATGTGTTTCCAAGAGGCCAACTGTTCCATTCTTTTCTCCATTTAGAATTCCTCTACAAAACAACTGCGTGAGACGAATTGATCGCCGACTGTAGTCTTCACTCTCTGTCAATAAGGCTTATCTTTGTAAAAAGCCCCGAGGAGTTCGTCTTATCAGCGCGGTGAAAAAAAATATCAAAAGGCTTGATGCCGTCTTGTTTGGGGATAAGATTTGGTAATACCCATTATGAGCAATCATAATCAAAAATCCATATTTTCACATTCACTTTTAGAGAAAGCCGTGTTTACAGAGAGTGACAGATTTGTTTTCCCAGAAATGGGTTATGTGTTTATGAAAACAACATAAGACTGCCTAGTTCACAGTCTCTCTCACGCACTGTTTTTTTCTCCCTCAGATCTATTTATCATTCTGTTCAATTAATAATTAAGCTGTTTTTTATTTTTGCTGCCACATATTGTTGTTTTTAATTGCATGAAATATTCATCGCTCCGACAAATTTACTGGCAATTTCTTATAAATTGTTAAAGTGGAACAATGCTAATGATGAAAAGCCAGGACATCCATCTTATTTACCTCCATTCAGCGCAAAACAAAGAGAGCGAAGCGCTCGATCAGGCAAATCAAACTGAAAAATTAAACAGCTCAACATCTAAACTCCCATTACATGTATTTTTCTCTTTAAATTGTAGGGAGGAAAATAAAAGCTGTGGTCGATACTCTCAGGCCCTCACTGTGCAGCGTGGAAGGGTGTCCCCACAGTGTTGCAATGTACATACGTTCCCTTCCCTCTGCCGCCTCTGTTTACCACAACTTAAGAACACACACACTGAAAAACCACACTAAAAAGCACAGTAAAGTCAGACTAAAGTCAGCTGTTTCTCTGTAGTGGATTGTCAACAGTCYGAAATGGAGATCTTAAATGAAAGAGATGGGTAAACAGCAAATCATGAGAACACTGTAGTTTGCTTACATCAGCGTCACTTTCTGCAATTTTCACAGGCCTCAAAGATCTCTCTTTCTTCAAAATCTCACGTCCGGTTACCTAAAATTTACAACAGCCACACATAAAGTTAAAACAGCAATTCAGTTTCARAACTTGTGCCATTTAAAATATACCGTGAAACTGCGACGCTGGTCAATATAATTGAAATACAGTAGGGAAAAAAAGCGAACTGATACGAAACCTAATGCCGAAGTTGAGTCAAATATATATGAAGACAGAATTGATGTTTCTTTATCTTACAGGAAACCCTAAAACCTCAGAGCTGCTCTTTCCTGGTTGCATAAATTTACCAGAAATTTACTGCAAATAATGAGAAAGGGGAAAAAACTGTTGACATCTTTGTTCTTTTTTTAAAACTACTGTAAATATTTGCATTTATCTCAAATTAAAAATAGCTGCCGTAAATATTTTTGATCATTTTGTCCCGGAAATCTAGTTGAATAATGAAGTAAACTARATTTTGTGCTTGACGCTTCTAACTAAAAGCTTTGATCTGCTGATAAATCTTCAGTGTTTGTGATCACCACACAGAGGAAAAGATGTGTTTGATAAAGTTGAATGACAAAGATGACTCAATTCGATAGAAAAACTGTTTACATATGATGCAATTTAGTCAYTCTACTATTCTTTATTATATCGAAATATTTCTGCTCTTTGTTGAATTATGTTATACATGTATTTAGTACTTTTTTCCCTTGAACTTCTCGACTTCTCACACAACTGTGGCTCTGCCTTCATTTTTACTTCATTTCTCAATCATCCCTAAAGCTAAGGAACATGAAATTGTTAAAAATTATGRAAACCTGTTCTTTTTTATTTTCTAAACAAGTTGTTTAAAAAATATCCAATGACATATTGGAAGCATTAGATTTTGTGTGATYTTCACATTAACATTAAGCATCTGCAATAAATCAACTCTTAGCATGATGGAAACAAAAACCTTACTAATTTTACCACCTATCGCATAACCAGGCTTGAAAATACTGTATCCTACCTGTGGTGACTGTTGTGGAGTACATGTTGGAAAACCAATTACTTCAACCATTGCTCACTAACTGTGTCCATTTAGTTTTCTGAACCTCCCAGTTCCCACTAGTTAATCRTAGCATAAACAAGTCATCAGTATATTTCTCAAAGAGCAGCACTAGGTAATTAGGGCATCTTGTTAGCTCTAACAGGCAAGCATAAGKAAAGTGGGGATTTCAAACAAACTTTTAATACAAACAAAAATGTTTCTTTGCATGCAAGGAAGCCCTTTACCATTACCGCTTCCTGAACTTCTTCTCAAATCTGACAGTGTTAGGTTTTGTCAAAAGTGTCCAATATCCAACATATTTTCCAGGAATGCATCACGTTGCATTTGAAAAACAGCAGAATTAACTATTTCACTTTATTTACCCATTATCCTTARATTCCAAAATGCTAAAAAGTAAAAGTGGGTTTTTCAGATACAAAAAGCTTGTTTTACAAAAGTACGCATGAATTAATATGAGGACCAATTATTACACACAACATAAAAATCATAAATTATTATAAGGGGTGCAACGATACAGAAAATTCATGATTCGGTTTGTTACTTTAGTCTCATGGTTATACAGCGTGTAAAATAAGTATTGAACACGTCACCATTTTTCTCAGTAAATATATTACAAG